CACTGCAGATGTGGTGGAAATAGCAAGAGAACTAGAATTAGAAGCGGAGCCTAAAGTGTGACTGAATTGCTGCCATCTTTTGATAAAACTTGAACAGATGGAATCTTCTTCTTGAGGTGGAAATCTACTCCTGGTAAATATTGTGAACATTATTGGAATGACAGACGATTTAGAATGTTTCAAACATTGATAAAGAAGTGGCTGGGTTTGAGAGGATTGACTCCAATTTTGAAAGAAGTTCTACTGTGGGTAAAATGTTATCAAATGGCATCATATCCTGCAGAGAAATCCTTTATGAAAGAAAGAATAAGTCAATGCAGCAAATTTCATTGTTGTCTTATTTTAAGAAATTGCCACCCCATCCTTCAGCAACCACCACCCTGATCATGCAGCAGCCATCAACATTGAAGCAAGACCCTCCATTGACAAAATGATTGATTCACTGAAGGATCAGATGATTGTTAACATTTTCTAACAATAAAGTATTTTTAAACTAAAGCAGGTACCTTGTTTTCTAAGATATGCTATTGTACACTTAATATACTACAGTATAATATAAACATAACTTATATGCACAAGGAAACAAAAAAAAATTGTGTGACTTGCTTTATTGAGGTATTTGTTTTGTTGCTGTGGTTTGGAGCCGAACTGGCAATATCTCTGAGGTGTGACTGTCCTCTCGATTCATCAAGTATAAAGTGGAAAGGGTTTTGGTGCATGAAGCCACCGAATGAACCACTGCTTGCTTGAACAAGGAAGGTAAAAAAAAAAAAAAAAAGAAAGGAAGGTACAGAAATAGAGTGTTTAGCTTTTTTCTTGTATTGCTAAGGTTTGCTTTCTCTGTAATTTTGAAAAAGCTTGTTCCTGATCACTTTAGACATTTAACTTGGTTTCGGAAATCTTGTGTAAACCAATATTACTTCTGAGTTTTTCTGCTATCATTTCTCTATTTACTAATAGCATTTGAACTAATTCACATTCGAGAAATATGCTTTGTAGCAAAACTCATCTTTAGTCTCTTTAGAAAAGCTATTTTATTGATAGCATCGTAATCAGTGATTGTGAAAGCCAAATCTTTGATTTGATCCTTGCCTCAAGACTGAATTCTACTCAGCCTTTGTAGTTCAAAGACTTAAGTTTTACCTTATACACTTGCCTCGTCTTACTCTGTACATTCCTGATTTTCTGGATTTCTTTTATTCTTGATTATAAACTGATTATTATTTTCCAAATATATCATTTTCATGTAATAATTTGTTAAATACAACTAACAGTATTACCAACACACTTGTAATAGTCCATTTTCCCACTAGAGCTGCTAGCTTTTGTGGTGTATTATCTACCTTCTGCGATAGCTAGCTGATAGTTCACTGATCATTTCACCACTGTATAATATAAGTTGCTAATCTTTTAGCCTCCAATAACTTGCCTCCTTCCATCCAGCTCCTAAGCCTTTGTCATATATTTTTAGGCTTTTTAAAGCAGCCTAAAAATTTCTTCTTCCAGAAGAAATCACTTCTCTGGTTTCTACTCGTAGCAGTTTGGATAAGCCAGATTATGCTGTGTTAATAAACAATACAAGATCTTAGTGGCTTTGAAAACACACTGTGTGGCCAGGCGCTGTGGCTCACACCTGTAATCCCAACACCTTGGGAAGCCGAGGTGGGTGGATCACCTGAGGTCAGGAATTTGAGATCACCCTGACCAACATGGTGAAACCCTGTCTCTACTAAGAATACAAAAAGTTAGTTGGGCATGGTGGTGGGCACCTATTAGTCCCAGCTACTCAGGAGGCTGAGACTTGCTTGAACCAGGGAGGCGGAGGTTGCAGTGAGCTGAGATGGCACCACAGTACTCTAGCCTGGATGACAGAGCGAGACTCCCTCTCAAAAAAGAAAAAGAAAATGTGATGTGTATCCAGTACATCGTATTAGCTGTTAGGGGACCAGGCTGAGAGCAGCCATCACCTGGAAGATTGCTAGCCACTGTGGCAGAAGGAAAAGAGGTCTGAAGAATTTCATATTGGTTAGTAAATGCCCTGCCTCTTCCTTTCACTTCTCATAATGTACTGATCAGAAGTAGTTACAGGGCCCCATCCAACTAAAGGGAATGGGAGTTGTGGTAGTGGTTTAAAAAGTGTAGCCTTGGCTGGGCACGCTGGCTCACACCTGTAATCCCAGCACTTTGGGAGGCTGAGGCAGTTGGATAACTTGAGGTCAGGAGTTTGAGAACAGCCTGACCACTATGGCGAAACCCCGTCTCTACTAAATATACAAAATGATCTGGACATGATGGAGTGCGCCTGTAGCCCTAGCTACTCCAAAGGCTGAGACAAGAATTGCTTGAACCCAGGAGGTGGAGGTTGCGGCGAGCCAAGATTGTGCCACTGCACTCCAGCCTGGGTGGCAGAGTGAGATTTCATCTCCAAAAAACAAACTAACTAAAAAAGTATAGCCTACCATCTGCCTAGAAGGCTGAGAGCCAGAAATATTTGGAAAATGAATTAATGATTACTCTTTTTTCTTTGTCTTTCTGATTTTTGTTTAACTCCTAGCTTTTGCTAGTTAATTGAATTTTACCGTCACTCCTCCCTTGCTTAATTTGAGATAATTAATCTGAGGTTTATTTAAATGATACTCAATAGTTCACATCTCCATAGGTGACAAGTTTTGGCACTTGTAGAATAAGGTTGCTAGGATTTTCCTCCTTAAAATATGAGGCATGAAACTGGTACAGAAAGATGTGCATTTACAAGAATGATTGAGTTTAAATTATTTCAAGGTGTCGTTTGTCATAATAGAAAAAGACCATGAGCTTTGGAGTCAGACAGGCCTGGAGTCAAATACTACCTCTGTCATTTGATAGATTTGCGATCTTAGACAAATTATTTAGCCTCCTTGAGCCATAATTTTACCATGTGTAAATACAAGAAAGTATAAATACATGTATTCAGATGTCAGGTAAAACATGGTAGCATTTATCACCACTCCTTCCTGAAATTCCAGTAAAGTAAAAGTAAAATTTTTTGTTTTTTAAAAAAGAATAAATTCACAAGGAAAAAGAAAATGGGAGAGAAAATGGAAGGGAAGACAAAGGACTAGCACAGGAATGATAGAAATAATTGTGAACTACTCATAGTCGTTATATTAGTAATCCTGATTTTTTCCAAAATTGTGATATAACTATATTGGGAGCATGAGGAAAGAGTTGGGAACAATAAGGTAAGAAAACTATAGAGAAAGGCAAGGTAAGGCTGGGTGCAGTGGCTCACGCCTATAATCCCAGCACTTTGGGAGGCTGAGGTGGGCAGATCACCTGAGGTTGGGGGTTCGAGACCAGCCTGACCAGCATGGAGAAACCCCATCTCTGTTAAAATTACAAAATTAGCCGGGTGTGGTGGTACATGCTTGTAGTCCTAGCTATTCAGGAGGCTGAGGTGGGAGGATCGCTTGAGCCCAGGAAGTTGAGGCTACAGTGAGCCATGATTGCACCCCTGCATTCTAGCCTAGGCAACGGAATGAGACCCTGTCTTAAAACAACAACAAAAACCCCAAAGTTTTGTGGTGGTTATTAAATATAAATAATGAACAGTAAAAACTATTATAGTGGCTATGTCCTTAGTAAGCATTTAATAAATACTAGTTTTCTTCTTTTTGTCAATTAGACAGTGTACGTGTTTACAGTAATATCCATAAGACTCAGAGGATAGGTAGATTGGCTAAACAGCAATGTGAGGTATGTCACAAAGCAAATTATATGCCCTTCTAAGCTTTTTAAAAATTATTGTTGGATGGTTTTCCTTTTCTTTCTTTTTTTTTTTTTTAAAGAAAATGAGAAGCTAATTTATTTAGCTCCTCAGGGAGGTTCTGTGGTCCAAGAAGGGGCCAAAGAAGTCATCGGATGGTTTTATTTTTCTTGGAACCATATCAACTTGATGGTTATGGCTTCTCAGAATTTAGACTCCTATGCAACTGACACACACAAAAAATCACCCAGTTACTGAGTAGATGTAGTGAGCTATGCACAGAACAAATGTTAAAATACTTGGCAGCTTTGAAATTATTCCAATAAACCTGAAAACAATTATATTTAAACCTAGATTATAAATAAGACCTTAAATAAGGCCAAGGACATGTTTCTTCTCTTCTATAGTTACGTCAATTAGCTGCTTTATTTCCAGGGGCTACTGTGCCTGCCCCACTACCACCTCTGTTCTGCAAACTTTCACTGTGGTGGACATGGTGATTGATGTTGAAAGACAGTCAGCCAGTATGAAGCTCTTGTGTGCTTCATGCCTACCACATTGTAAACTAGACTGTAAAGGCCCTGTGGATAGAAAGCATATATTTTGCCGTATCAGTATATTCCGTAGTATCTAAGAAAATGAATGCTGTCCAATATTATTTTATTCATCATATATATACTGTATGTTAGACACTGTGCTAAGCTCTCAGGATATCTTGGTGTAAGGGACAGACGTGGCTTTTGCTGTTGTAGAATTTATAGTCCAACAGAAAAAGTTTATGAATTCCTGTAATCCAGTAAAATAATGGCCCATACTGAAACATTTAAGCAGTTAAAAGCATTGTATATGTAAACAGTTTAATAATTTTGGCGGGGCTTAGTGGCTCACACTTGTAATCCCAGAACTTTGGGAGGCTGAGTGGATCATAAGGTCAGGAGTTCAAGACCAGCCTGGTCAAGATGGTGAAACTCTTTCTCTAATAAAACTACAAAAATTAGCCGGGCTTGGCGGCAGGTGCCTGTAATCCCAGCTACTTGGAGGCTGAGGCAGGAGAATCACTTGAACCCGGGAGGCAGAGGTTGCAGTGAGTCGAGATTGCACCACTGGACTCCAGCCTGGGTGACAGAGTGAGACTCTGTCTCAAAAAATATATAATAATAATTTTAAGCTATGTTTCTTGTGATTTAAATGCATGCTGTAAAAAGGAAATAGTGGTATTATCTGATTATTTTTTCCTGTTTGCTTTTCTTTGTAGATAAGATGCCCCAACTCCCTTGCAGCTCTCTTCAGAAGAAAAATCACTAGTGTTCTGCCCTTGCCGTAATACCAGACCTGTTTGACTTATGCTTTGGTGCTGCAACACTGGAATAATTGCACACAGTTTCCAGGAATATCTTTTTTTCATTTGAGTGATTCTTTGTGGATGAAAACAGATTTGAGTCTTAATAATTACCTTGTTTAAAAGCTGTTTTCTTTATAGTCTGAACTGCTTAATAAATTGGGCTGCTTACCAATGAGCCACACAGCCAGTTCTTGTCAGGAGCTGGTTGAAAGCTGTGCTGTGCATGTAGCAGGAATGGCACAAGAAGATAGCCGTCGTGGTCAAGTGCCATCTTCCTTTTATCATGGTGCCAACCAAGAACTTGACCTGTCCACCAAAGTGTACAAAAGGGAATCAGGAAGTCCTTATTCTGTGTTAGTGGACACCAAGATGAGCAAACCACATCTCCATGAAACAGAAGAACAGCCATATTTCAGGGAGACAAGAGCAGTGTCTGACGTGCATGCTGTTAAGGAAGACCAGGAGAATTCTGATGACACAGAAGAGGAGGAGGAAGAGGAAGAAGTCTCTTACAAAAGGGAGCAGATCATAGTGGAGGTAAACCTTAATAATCAAACATTAAATGTGTCTAAAGGGGAAAAGGGTGTCTCTTCTCAGTCCAAAGAGACTCCTGTTCTTAAGACAAGCAGTGAGGAGGAAGAGGAAGAGAGTGAGGAAGAGGCCACAGATGACAGCAATGACTATGGAGAGAATGAAAAGCAGAAGAAAAAGGAGAAGATAGTAGAGAAAGTCAGCGTTACACAGAGGAGAACGAGGAGAGCTGCCTCTGTTGCCGCAGCTACCACTTCCCCTACTCCCAGAACTACGAGAGGTCGTAGGAAGAGTGTAGAGCAACCTAAGCGTAAGAAGCGGGCCGCAAAAGAGCCAAAAGCACCAGTCCAGAAAGCTAAGTGTGAAGAGAAAGAGACTCTGACCTGTGAGAAGTGCCCCAGGGTATTTAACACTCGATGGTACCTGGAGAAGCACATGAACGTTACTCATAGGCGCATGCAGATTTGTGATAAATGTGGCAAGAAGTTTGTCCTGGAAAGTGAGCTGTCCCTTCACCAGCAAACAGACTGTGAAAAAAACATTCAGGTAGGTTTCATCACCGAGAGGGCAAACTTTTCAGGATAGAACCTGGCTGTTCAGATTCATCTGGTATCCGCCCAAGAGAATAAATACAATAGAGGCTGAAGGGACAGATTTCACCAATTTATCATTTGAAAATCTCCTGCTTTGGTCTTTTCTAAACCAAGGCTTTTATATCAAAAGCATTAAATTTAACTGACGCTGGACTAGTGGGAACCCAGGCACACTGGAAGGGGGATCTGTTATAGCTGATTGACCAGGAGGTTAAAATCAACACCAACTTTGCAGAGATTCATTGTTGTAGGAAATGTAATAGAATTCATTCTGGCATCATCTCTGTGGAGGTAGGAGTTACTGAGTAAAGGTTAGGAGTAGAGAAAAGTCCCTTTCTGGGTTTACAAGGATGCCAGATTCTAGTACAGCTGATGGGGACAAAAACCATAATGACTCAGACCGGTGGAAATGGAAGATCTTCAGCAGTGAGTTTGCTTTTACCATTGGAGAGATGACAACACTAAATTTGCCAAGAGGCTGAGCCCATGGGAATATGCAAACATTAAGCAGAGGCTGAGCTGGTTGAAAATGTTGCCCACCTGGCAGTAGGGTTACATAATGCCTCTGTACAGTATTGCTAAGGTAACAAAATAATGGTATTCAAACCAGGCTGGTATTGTGAAAGGACTAGTATTGTGATAGGTTAAAGACGTATGCTAATTGTATTATGTCGTATGGATTGCAGCTGTATTGGTTTGCACATGCGAAAGCATATTGAATATTCATAAGAGGTAAGTCTATTCATGTCTCCATAAGATATGTAACAAATATTTTGTACCATATTTAAGCTAAACATATAAATTGTGTTGGTTTGGTTTGTTTCTTGGCGTGCTCCTAATATTGGTAGTCACCTTTTAAGTTTCACTTTTCTTCTGTTGCTTGTAATCAACAACTGAGATCATTGCTCTACTCTAAAGAGAATTTAAAACATGGAGATTGCATTTGCTAAAAATTCACCGTTTTTGATTCATCAGTTGTGACTTGATCACCAACACACTGGGTAAATAAAAGAAGAACGAGTCATGGAGTCCATATCCTCCGGTAACTGCCAGTGCCCTGGCCTGGCTGGGAATTGTTTGCAATACTTCAGCCAAAGGGAGTGTGGTGCAGTGCTGCACCCTAGGGGTCAAATTTGGATTCTGTAATGATCCATTACTGAAGGTGCTCTCGATCTTTATATATAGGTTTTGTGAGGTTTTTAAACTTAAATTTGTTTAAGTTACAGAAAAGAAAACATTTAATAAATACTTTTTGTGTGTGACTTTCCTCATGGTTCTTCATCATAATACTTTCAAACTTGTGTTTAAGTTTTGTGGATTTTGCTAAATGAACTTATTCACATTCCTAAAGAGCACTGTACTTTCTTCTTGTGTATAGATCCTAATAATCCTGATGACCTGGTAACCAGTAAAAACTAAAACCCAAGGTGGGCATGGTGGCTCACAGCTGTAATCCCAGCACTTTGGGAGACCAAGGTGGGCGGATCACGAGGTCAGGACATCCAAACCATCCTGGCTAACATGGTGAAACCCCATCTCTACTAAAAATACAAAAAATTAGCTGGGTGTGGTGGCACGAGCCTGTAGTCCCAGCTACTTGGGAGACTGAAGCAGGATAATCACTTGAATCTGGGAGGTGGATGTTCCAGTGAGCTGAGATCGTACCATTGCACTCCAGCCTGGGCAACAGAGCAAGACTCCGTCTCAAAAAAAAAAAAAAAAGAAAAAACAACAAAAAACCTGTCCTACAAAATGGCTGATAAGTCTGTCCTTTTCTAGAGCATTATCCAGCCAGAAGTTTATCTTTTAACTCTTCTCAGAGTTCTTGTTTCCTGAAGTGACAATGATGTTTAGAGATCTTTATTTACAGTGAATATTAACATGTTCCCTTAAGTATCCAAGAATTTAATGATTACCAAGGACTTTCTAGTATTGTTTTGCTTTAACCAGAAATATTTTATGGTTAAATACATTATGCCTCATATTCCAGGCTATTAATGATTCGTGATACAAGGAACTAGGCAGTGTGGCGTGTGTTTTCTAGATTCTTGCAAGAGAGCTCTGGAACTGGTCTGTAAGGGAAAAAGGATGGGCTTTAGTTAATTAAAGTTTAGACTAAAAATTTTTTTAAATTTTTTTAAGAAAGAGTGAGGCCAGGTGCAGTGGCTCATGCCTGTAAGTCCTAGCACTTTGGGAGGCCGAGGTGAGCAGATCACAAAGTCAGGAGTTCTAAACCAGCCTGGCCAACATAGTGAAACCCCATCTCTACTAAAAATACAAAAATTAGCCAGGCATGGTAGCATGTGCCTGTAGTCCCAGCTACTTGGGAGGCTGAGGCAGGAGAATCACCTGAACCTGGGAGGCAGAAGTCATGGTTAGCTGAGATCGTGCCACTGCACTCTCGCCTGGGCAACAGAGTGGGACTCCATCTCAAAAATAAAAAATAAAAATAATTTAAATAAAAGAGTGATACTAAGAGTTTAGAGATTATATTCTGCCAGAGGGTAGTATTTGAAAGTATCTGTTAGATTTGGAGAAATATAAAATTTTAACCATTTGTGTTAATAGATGCTCCAAATGCATTTTCTAAGGCATAAAAACATTTTTATATTTCTACATACCTATAATACCTATACCACTAATATATATTTTGTTTAATCTTGTTTTTATTATGCTAATTTAAAATTAGTGTATATTCTCTGGTAAACCCTTACTAACTGATGTGAAGGAGAGAGCCACACTTGCTTAATACATAAATTTTAAAAACTTGAATCTCTTGCAACTTCTATTTAAAAAAGGTTGGCTGGGCACGGTGGTTCACACCTGTAATCCCAGCGCTCTGGGAGACCAAAGCAGGTGGATCACGAGGTCAGAAGATTGAGACCAGCCTGGCCAACACAGTGAAACCCTGTCTCTACTAAAAATAACAAAAAAAAAAAAAACCCCCAGAAAATTAGCTGGATGTGGTGGCATGTGCCTATAATCCCAGCTACTTGGGAGGCTGAGGCAGGAGAATCGCTTGAACCCAGGAGGCAGAGGATGCAGTGAGCCGAGATTGTGCCGCTGCACTCCAGCCTGGGCAACAGAGTGAGACTTTGTCTCAAAATAAATAAATGAAAGTTCTTTTCATAGGTACAGTACTAACTTCATAATAGCAATTAATTCCTTGATGTTAGTGGAACTTTCCACTTTGTCTTAGTTTTTGCCATTGTTTTCATAATCTCAAAGAGTGTCTAAAAGATGCATCTTAGAAAAGAGAACGTACAGATGTTGGTGTTGGAATCTGGGCTCTGTGGAAGAATAGCATTGATCTGGATTCTGGCCTTGTGCCATTAACCTAAAGCACATCCATTTCATCTGCCAGTAGGCTGGTATGGCATTCTGTAAACCCCTATAAATAAGATTATTTCTGTTTATCCTGCTTAGTGTGTTTCCTGTAACAAATCGTTCAAGAAACTCTGGTCTCTTCATGAACATATCAAGATCGTTCATGGATATGCAGAAAAGAAATTTTCCTGTGAAATTTGTGAGAAGAAATTCTATACCATGGCTCATGTGCGGAAACACATGGTTGGTAAGTTTTTCTGCTTTTCTCTCATACCTATAATTTTCTCTTGTTTTTCTGTGTGCTTTATGCCCTGGATTGGGCAGGATATGAGGAATTGCCCTATTCAGTTTTGACATGTTGAAACTAAATGCAATATGTCTTCAGTAAGTATAACCAAATTGGATGGTATAGTCTTCCACACCCAGTTTCTTTTCAGCATTATTTTTCTCTTCAGACATTACTATTACAGACTCAAAAAGGCCGGCTGTGGTGGCTCACAGCTATAATCCCAGTACTTTGGGAGTCTAAGGGGGGCAAATCACTTGAAGTCAGGAGTTTGAAACCAGCCTAGCCAACATGGCGAAACCCTGTCTGCTAAAAATACAAAAATTAACTGGGCATGGTGGTGTACGCATGTAATCCCAGTTACTCGGGAGGCTGAGGCAGGAGAATCACTTGAACCCAGGAGGACAGAGGTTGTAGTGAGCCAAGGTCACACCAGTGCACTCTGGTCCGTGTCACAGAGTGAGACTCCATCTCCAAAAAAAAAAGCCTCATGCCTCACAAATTATTCTAGAAAATTAGGTTGGCATAATTGCTTTACAGAGGATACCTTTTTAGTTTGAGCTTTTTGGTGGATTTGTTTTGATGCAAAGTACATTCTGTGTTGCAGCACACACGAAAGACATGCCATTTACATGTGAAACCTGTGGAAAATCATTCAAACGCAGTATGTCACTCAAGGTGCACTCCTTGCAGCATTCTGGAGAGAAACCCTTCAGATGCGAGGTAAGGAATGTGCTACTCACAGACCCAGGCCTCGGGCTAGTGTTTGCGTAGGTGGCGGACCAGTGAGAGAGAGGTGTGCTGGAACAGGAGGCACAAAGCTGCCTTCCACAGAACCTTCAGACATGGTCTCTGAGCTCGGTGCGTGCTGTCACTGTGAGGTAGAGAAATGTCACTTTTAACACATTGTTAACTCAGATTAGATTAACTTGGAAATAACACAATGACTTATTTTTCTTTTCTCGGTGATTCTGAGAAGTTGAGTTTACTTCAATGATAATTTTATGAGGAAGTTTCCCTTTTATTAATAACTCACCTGCAGAAATATAGCAAAGCCAAATAGCTGACACAAGCAGATTCTATTTGGAATATGAAAAATAAGCCTAATATCAGAGACTGTGTTAGGGTGGGCTCAGATAAAGCTACTGTGCTTGGCATTCAAAAATCTCCACTGTGTCCAATGCAGAACTGTGACGAAAGGTTTCAGTACAAGTACCAGCTACGCTCCCACATGAGCATTCACATTGGGCACAAACAGTTCATGTGCCAGTGGTGTGGCAAGGATTTCAACATGAAGCAGTACTTCGACGAACACATGAAAACACACACTGGTAAGAATTTCTTGGGAAAGGTACAAATAATGTCTCAAGCACTTGTTGATGATCATCTGTGGGTCTGTTTTTTAAAAAATCAAAACTATAAATTTGCATTTGAAGCCAAATTCCCACTTTAAACCTAATATGTAAAAATATAGATTGGTAATACTGAAAAATTTAGCTTTGATATCTCTGGGATTGTTTAAAAAAAGATTATTTAGCTGGGCATGGTGGCTCATTCCTGTAATGCCAGCATTTTGGGAGACTGAGGCAGGCAGATCACAAGGTCAGGAGTTCAGGACCAGCCTGGCCAACACAGTGAAACCCCGTCTCTACTAGAAATATAGAAGAAATTAGCTGGACGTGGTGTGTGCACCTGTAATCCCAGCCACTTGGGAGGCTGAGGCAAGGAGAATCACTTCAACCTGGGAGACAGAGGTTGCAGTGAGCCAAGATTGAGCCACTGCACTCTGGCCCGGGTGACAGTGTGAGACTCCATCTCAAAAAAAGAAAAGAGTGAAAGGATTATTTGTATCTTTTAATTTTTAGTTCTTTTAAGACAACGGGGTCTTTGGTTCAGGAACTCCTGAAATTGTATAAAATTTCTTTTGTGTGTGTGTGTGTGTTATTTTCCTAAGAAAGGAAGGGTTCTGGACCTTTAAAGGTTGAAAGGCACTGGCGGACTGACTGCTTTTATAGAAAACCCCTCTCTGTCTGTTTTGTTTTGCTTTTTTAAGACAGGGTATCACTTCCATTAACCAGGCTGGAGGGCAGTGGTGCAATCTCAGCCTCCACCTCCCAGACTCAAGCCATCCTCCCGCCTTAACCTACTGAGTAGCTGGGAACAAAAGTGTGCGCCACCATGCCTAGCTAATTTTTGTATTTTTTGTAGAGACAAGGTTTCACCATGTTGTCCAGGCTGGTCTCGATCTTCTGGGCTCAAGCAATCTGCTTGCCTCAGTGCCTCAAAGTGCTGAGATCACAGGTGTGAGCCACCAAGCCTAGCCCCTCTCAGTATTCTTAAAGTTTTATTTGATATGATTTACCAAAATTCACTACTTGTCAGGAACACATCTGTGTTCTACGAGGTTAAATATTTTAATCACTTTGTGGTTTTAGGGGCATATGTTCCATAGCATGTATTTGAGTCTTACAAACATTTGATTATCCAGCTTCCAGGGAACTGGCTAAAATAATAGCTCCCCTGTAAACACTATCATTATATCTCAGTCTAAACTTGATGTTCTGAGATTAACCATCTTTGCATAAATTGAACAGGATTCTAAATAAAACCTAATCACAGGATTCTAGGTTCTATTCATCTACAGAGTACTGGAGGTAGAAAGAACAGAGATGATTTTGCTTAGCTTGCTATTCATTTGCTTACCTAGTGATGAGGAAATTCTGCCCATGGCTGGATCTCTTTAGTTCCCAGTTCTCTGTTGAAGCCCAAAGAAAAATGCCCATCTAGTGGGCTTCTTTCTCATTCGGAATGGAGCACCCTCAGATTTTAAGGATTTTTAGGCAAGATGAAGAGTCATGAGAGCAGTTTAATTAGTTAAATTAGACCTGAAAAGAAAATAACTTTGAAGATGTAGCCAAATAGCCCTGGCGTGGTGGCTCACGCCTGTAATCCTAGCACTTTGGGAGGCCAAGGGGGGTGGATCACCTGAGGTCAGGAGTTCAAAACCAGCCTGGCCATCATGGTGAAACCCCATCTTTTTTTTAAAAAAAGAGAATTTTTTTTCTATTAAAAAAAAAAAAAAAAAGATGTAGCCAAATAGCAGGATACATCAGAATAGTTAACAGATTCTCCTTATAATTTGGTGGCTCTTGGATAGGTTCTTAGTTCTAGTGTCATTTTTAGGGTTTGTTTTTTTTTGTGTGTGTGTAATATGGCAAGAAACCATGGAACTAAACAGAGCATAAGTTTTTGGGGATTTGGGATTTGTTTGTTTTTTTTTTTTAGATGAAGTCTCACTCTGTCACCCAGACTGGAGAGCAGTGGCATGATCTTGGCTCACTGCAGCCTCCACCTCCCAGGGTTCAAGCAGTTCTCTTGCCCCAGCCTCCCAAGTAGCTGAGATTACGAGTGTGCAACACCATACCCAGCTAAATTTTTTTGTATTTTTTAGTAGAGACAGTGTTTTACCATATTGGTCAGGCCGGTCTAGAACTCCTGACCTCAAATGATCCACCTGCCTAGGCCTCCCAACGTGCTGGGATTACAGGTGTGAGCCACCGCTTCTGGCCAGAACATAAGGTTTTTTTGAAGGCAGAAGGAGTGTCATATTTACACACACTGCTTGGCATATAGATGCTTGGTAAATGTCACAGAATTGAAAGGAACCTCTAGCACTTCAGTCTCTGCCACTTTATCCCTCTTATCTTCCTTGCCTGTCTCCCTGTGTGTCTTTCTCCCCATTGCTTCCTCCCTCCTTCTCCTGTATTTCTTTCTTTCTTCTTTGTCCTTTATTTTTTTAGACCCTTAAATGTTCATAATGGGAAACTGAAGTGTTTCTTTCATGATTATTTTAGTTATTGTATAAATTTATGTTGAGTATAGTATTCTTCTTTGACCAAATAGGCAAACAGAATACTTCTTGTTTCTTCTAAATGAATGCAACTACCTAAATTCCCTCTCAAAAGTTTTTTTTTTCTTTTTCTTCTTGAGGAGTTTTACTCTGTCACCAAGGCTGGAGTATAGTAGCGTGACCTCCACTCACTGCAATTTCCACCTCCCAGGTTCAAGCAGTTTTCTTGCCTCAACCTCCTGAGTAGCTGGGACTACAGGTGTGTACCACCATGCCTCTCTAATTTTTGTATTTTTAGTAGAGATGGAGTTTCATCATGTTGGCCAGGCTGGTCTTGAACTCCTGACCTCAGGTGATCTACCCGCCTTGGCTTCTCAAAGTGCAGGGATTGTAGGCGTGAGCCACTGCACCTGGCTCCCAAAATTTTTATCTTTCTCATTAAAAGTGTAATTCATACTCAGCCAGACATGGTTGCTCATGCCTGTAATCCCAGCATTTGGGAGGCCGAGGCAGGTGGATCTCTTGAGCACAGAGGTTCAAGACCAACCTGGGCAACATGACAAAACCTCAGCTCTGCAAAAAATACAAAAGTTAGCCAGGGGTGGTGACACGTGCCTGTGGTCCCAGCTACTTGGGAGGCTGAGACAGGAAGGATTGTTTGAACCCAGGAGATTGAGGCTGCAGTGAGCTGTGATTCTGCCACTGCCCTCCAGCCTGGGTAACAGAGCAAGACCTAGTCTCAGAAAACAAGACAAACCAAAAAAAGGGTAACACATACTTATTAAAATATATTAGAAACTATGAAAATTACAAACAAAATAAAATCTCATCACCAAGAGATCACCACTCAACATTTTGGCATATACCCAGTAAAAAAAATTCAGTTCTTTAGTTTCCTAACACACATATAGACAGATAGTTTGTATGTTTATGTGTTCATGTGTATAGTAACAAAACAAATGTTGGGTCTTTATTGTAACCCACTTTTTATTTTACTGTATTATGTCATTAGCAATATAATTTTCATGGCTATATAATATTTCTTCTTGTAAATTTGCTATAATAATAGCTATACATGTGTATAATACACATGTATTCAGGTATTAAGTGCTTTACCTCTTTTAATGTACCCTTTCAACAATCCTGTAAAAGAAGGTTGGGGTTTTTTTTTGTTTTTTGTTTTTTGTTTTTTGTTTTTGAGACAGAGTCTTGCTCTGTTGCCCAGGCCAGAGTGCAATGGCCGGATCTCCATTCACTGCAACCTCAACCTCCAGGGTTCAAGTGATTCTCCTGCCTCAACCTCCCAAGTAGCTGGGATTACAAGCACGTGCCACCACACCTGGCTAATTTTTTGTAGTTTTAATAGAAACACGATTTTGCTGTGTTGGGCAGGCTGGTCTTGAACTGCTGACCTGAGGTGATCCACCTGCCTCGCCCTTCCAAACTGCTAGGATTATAGGTGTGAGCCACTGTGCCCGGCCAGTAAAGGATGTTTTCTCCATTTATTTAGCCAGTTCCCTGCTAGACATTTAGGTAATTCCTGTTTCCAGTTTTTCTACTATTATAAATAGCCACAGGCCAGGCAGTGACTCATGCCTGTAATCCCAGCACTTTGAGTGGCTGAGGTAGGAGGATCACTTGAGCTCAGGAGTTCAAGATCAACCTGGGCAATATAGTGAGACCCTCATCTCTGTTTTTTAAAAAAATATTTTTAAACTCAGAGGGAAAATTTGCCTTATTTGCCCAGCCCTTTATAATTTAAATAAAATCCTTGCTGATTTGATAGGTGAGAAATGATTTCTTATATTAATTTGCATTTATTTAATTACTAAGTAAGATTGAACATTTATTTGCTTGTAGTTATCAATGTATTTTTTGAATTGCTTGTGCCTCTTCTGTGCTCATCTTTCCATTACAGTGTTTGACTTTTTTTATTTCATTAATGTTGAAATACTTTCCCCTGGTTTGTCATCTGCCTTTTAGTATTATTCATAGTGTCCAAACTGGGAAAGCAGCTAGATGGTGAAGTTGGACAGATCTGGCTCTGCCACTCACTAGCAGAATTGTGTACCTCTCTAGGCCTCCGGTTTGATATTAAGTAAGAATGACAGTAGTACCTAAAGGGTGCAGGAGAAATGTTAACATTTTAGAGAAGGATTAGCTTTAGAGAGGGAAGGGAATAGGTCTCTAAGGCTGAATGAAACTACATTTAGAGACAGCAGTGTGTTTTGGTGGGGATTAAGCTCGTTGTATGAACTGACAGTATTGGACTGTTTCTTTGCAGTTAAAGAGAAATGAGGCACACCGTATCTAGGAAGGCTGACCAGCCATGAGTCAGGGCTTACTAGGATGGTGTGGACATAGGGTGAGTTCAAAATAGAATACATACTGATTTTCCTTGTACCAGGCACAGTGCTACGTGCCTAGAGACACAAGGATGGATTAAGACCTGGTTTCGTGTAGTCTGCTGAATGGTAATGG